TTCCTGCCAACTGCTTCACGTACGTGTTGGGAAAAAAAAAAAAAGGGGGGGCATGGCTCTAAGTTTCGGGACTCACAGTAGTGCGCAGCGGGTACAGCAGGGAGCAAACACTTGTGACACTCCTACAGAAGCAGCTCCCAGCCCTTTCTTAAAGCACTTTTTTTTTTTTTTGTTTGCATTCAGGGAAACCAACTGCAGGCTTATTTGATCCAATTTTCTCTTTGCACCATACACATATAAAACATTACAACTCTGTATAAAAGTACAAGTGGTTCTTGTACATCTGAATTATGCAGGAACTATGTGAGCAAATCCTATCAAAATAGCTATTTTTTTTTTGTGTGTATAAACAGCATTTGTTTTTAGAAAAAACAATATCATAAACTGCAGAATCTGTACAAAAATATAAAATAAATTTGGGCAGCAGTTTCTAAACAGCCATGTAAATGCAACACTTAAAGAGGAGCAGGTTAATGCCGCCAAAAGGCTGAATTGCTAAGTCAACCTATACAGGGCTAAAATGGTATTGAGATTATCTAAATAATAAATTTTTTTTACCTCTTGCAATAAAACTTATAGAAAAAATAGACAAATATGCACATGCAATTTACAGCTTTCCCCAACATAATCCTTGTGCTTAGCTTTTACAATTTTTTTTTGTTTTTTTTTTTTGTAATAACGTAACATTGTCTACAATACATATTCTTTCCTGTTCCAAGGTATTCGGTCTTCCTTGAGGAACCACTTTAAAAAAAATACATTAGAAGTGGTCATACATGGATGAAGGCACTCCAACTCTGCTTGAAGCAAAAACTAGTGTGATCCTTTTCTTTGCAAAAAAGGCAAGCAAGGACGCATGCACAGTGCTGTGAATCTGGGGCGGGAGGGACTATGGAAATACTACCAAGTGTCTATACTGGTACTTAAAATTAAAAAAGCGAGAGAGAGGGAGAGAGAGAGAGAAAAAGCAAGAGAGAAAGAGAGAGAGTTGCTATATTTTAAGACCCAACAAGCACCTCCATTATGTGATCCAGTTCTGTGAGGTCCATTTTGAAAGGCTGATTTGGAGTTACTGGTTGACTGCTGTACGGAGCGAGAGTTTTTAGGAGCTCATCTGTGGCCATTTTTGAGGCCGCCCCCGTGGCAGACGTGCAGGGGTCAAAATCATACATGGACGTATCAATGTCAGCGAACAGGATATCATCCAGGGTCAAGTCCGTGAGGAAACCTGTGGAAGTCGTGATCTCAAAATTGCCAGGTAGCGAGTCCATGAGCTTCGGTTCTGCCGGTCTGCTCTCCGGGACGCCCTCGGGCTTTTGCACGCTGGACTCGCTGGGGTGGTCTTTCGAGTCGTCCGCTGCGGTTTCGGCTGCTACTGCTACTGCCTCTGCGGAGGTAGGTGCCGGACAAAGCTCCTCGATTTCGTCCAAGGCTGAGGAGAAGCTGTCCTTTACTGGTTGGAGAGCAGGAGGTGGTAGTTTTGTCGGACCATTGTGCTGGACCGTCTGGGAAGTGCAAAAAGTGTCGTCCTCGAGCAGCGAGGCTGGGGTGAGGCAAGCCTCCAAGGGCGTAGTGCTTACCAAGTCAGTGGGGAGCAGGGGCTGGGAGGCGAGGTGGCTGAACGCCGGCTGCGCCTCCCGGAAGTTGTCCCCGAGCGGGTCGGTGGGCTGCGAAGCAGTGACGAACACAGGCCTCAAGCTGCCTTCTTGTTTGAGTTCCTCCTGGATTCGCCTCAACATGTTGTTAATTAAAACTGTCTTTTGCAAGCTTGGCTCGGTTAATGGCCTGTGGTTATAAAGTTTCATAAGGGAAATGTTGAAGATAGTCTGACGCTGTAAGGTGTAAGACACCTTAGAGGGACCGTCAGTAGGAGACACCACTTTGCCTTCCAACCCATCTTCATGCTCGTCAAACTTCCGCTTTCCTCCTTTCCCCAACATATATCTGAAAGGAAGGAGAAGAGACCTGTGAAGGCAGCAACGCTGAAAGTCTGCTCTCGGTCAGCCCCGGGCCCCTTATTCCCCCACGCACGCAAGCCACGCGGTGGGGGCAGCTTGGCCACTTCGCGCTTGCCTCCAACGCAGCAGCGTAAAGCTGCCCGCTCTCGGCCCACGGCAGCCCGGCGAGAAAGCAGGAACAACGTTATTGCAGAGCTCTGGTCTGTACAGCTAAGCTGGTACTTCCCAACCGTGGATTACAACAGCACCTCTAAAACTCCAGCCCTTGCGCGCTTTTAGCAGCAAATTTCACTCTGGCATGCATTAAGCGCCTGGTCCACATCGGCGGACAAACTACAGCTACTATAGTAAATGAGCCTTTGAATTTCCTGTCTGATGCAGCATTATGGCTGGGACTACAGACACAATACGCTGAGGGTTTTTTTTTTTTTTTACAATGAATTTCCCTTTTTTAAAGTGTTTGCAGGGAGCAGGGGAGCAAGGCTCAAGCAATCATGCGCTGAGAAAAACCTCCACGGCAAAGGCTGGCGACTCAGCCCTGCCATTCCCGATACAGGCGTATCCGGCCCCATGGGTTTATGTAAATGATTACATATGGACTAAGCTACTAGAGCAGGAAATGCAGTTATTACACTCAGCACAGAATTAGATAAATTGCAGATGAAGACGATCCGTCAGGTTGTTTAGTCTCCTCTCCAAGATCACGCTCCGTAATACGTTGCGCTGCCGCGTCCAAGGGCCTCAAAAGCAGCCGGCGACCAGCTCTCAGTTTGAGGCCGCAGCACCTGCCTTGCAAAGCTTTAAAGGCACCGGCGTTTCCCGCTGCGGCAGCCC